AAACTTTTGGAACATTTCGTTATAATTGGTATCAATTCTTCTTCAAATGTCTGGTAGAATTCAGCTGTGAATCTGTCTGGCCCTGGGCTTTTTTTTTTTTTTTTTTCTGCCAGTTTTTTTATTACAATTCAATCTCATTTCTTGTTATTGGGGTGTTCAGGATTTCTGTTTCTTCATGATTCAAGCTAGGAAGGTTGTATATTTCCAGCAATTGATCTATTTCTTCTAGATTTTCTAGTTTGTGTGTGTCAATATGTTTATAGTATTCTCAACTGGTATTTTGTATTTCTGTGATATCATTGTAATGTCTCTGTTTTCGTTTCTAATTGAGCTTATTTGAATCTTCTCTTTTCTTGGTTAAGCTAGCTAGTAGTCTATCAATGTTATTTATCTTTACCAAGAACCAACTTTTTGTTGTATTGATCTTTTGTGGGTTGTTTGTTTGTTCATTTGTTTTGAAACTGCTCTGATCTTTGTTATTTATTTTCTTCTGCTAGCTTTGGATTTGGTTTGTTCTTGTTTCCCTAGTTCCTTGATTTGTGATGTTAGATTGTTAATTTGTGGTCTTTCAGGCTTTTTGATGTAGGCATTTAGTGATATACACTTTCCTCTTAACAGTGCTTTTTCTGTATTCCAGAGGTCTTGGTAACTTGTGTCACTGTTATTCATTTTGAAGAATTTTTTAATTTCCATCTTAATTTTATTGTTAGCCCAAAAATCATTCAGAAGGAGTTTGTTTAATTGTACCATTTTAGGGTTACCTTTTGGAATTGATTTCTGGTTTTATTCCGCTGTGATCTGAGAAGATACTTGACATGATTTTGATTTTTTCTTATTAATGTAGACTTGTTTTGTGGCCTATCATATGGTCCATTTTGGAGAATGTTCTGTGTGCTGATTAGAAGAATGTGTATTCTGCATTTCCAGGCAAAATGTTCTGTAAATAGCTGTTAAGTTCATTTGTTCTAGAGTGCAGTTTAAGTTGAGTGTTTCTTTGTTGACATTCTGCATCAATGATTTGTCTAGTGCCATCTGTAGAATGTTGTAGTCCTCCACTGTTATTTTGTTGCTGTCTATCTCTTTTCTTTTCTTAGGTCTAGAAATCATTGCTTTATGAATCTGGGAATTCTTGAGTTAGGTGCATATATATTTAGGATTTAAAGTCTGTTTTATCTGATATAAGAATAACTACTGCTCACTTTTGGTTTCCATTTGTGTAAAATATATTTTTCCACCTCTTTACCTTGAGTCTATAAGAATCCTTAAATGTTAGGTGTGTTTGTTGAAGATAACAGATATTTAGTTTGTGATTTTTTAAATCTATTCTGCAGTTTTTTGTTTGTTTGTTTGTTTTTTGTTGTTTGCTTGTTTGTTTGTTTGTTTTGCAGAATCTCACTCTGTAAACCAGGCTGGAGTGCAGTGGCACAATCTCAGTTCACTGCAACATCTGCCCCCTGGGTTCAAGCAATTCTCATGCCTCAGACTCCTGAGTAACTAGGACTACAGGCACATGCCACCACACCTGGCTAAGTTTTTGTATTTTTAGTAAAGACTTGGTTTTGCCACATTAGCCAGGCTGGTTTCAGACTTGTGGACTCAAGTGATCCATCTACCTCAGCCTCCCAAAGTGCTGGGATTACAGGAGTGAGCCACCATGCCTAGCCCAGTCTGTACTTTTTAAGTGGATCATTCAGACCATTTACATTCAATGTTCATATTGTGTGATATGTCGTACTATTCCAGTCATATTGTTGATTGTTACCTGGTGATTTTGTTTTCTTCACTGTGTTATTGTTTTATAAGTCCTGTGAATTTTATGCTTTTGATAGTGTCTATACTGGTGCATAGTGACTTTTCGTTTCAAGATTTAGAACTCCTTTTAGAATTTCTTGTAGGGCTTGACTAGTATTGTTTCTAATATCCAGGAAGTTCTACACCTGCTGAGATATAGAAAGCAATATTATCCTCTCCCTCCCTGGATATTATGAACAATATCCCAGGAGGGTGTACACCCCCTGCAATATTGAGGTTAATATCATTTTCTTTCCACCTGAATACTACAAACAATAAAACAGAAGAGTGTTCACCTCCTGCAAGATTGGGGGTAATATCATCCTCTCCCCGCCTTGATATTACGAACAATATCACAAGGAGGTCTACACCCCCTGTGATATTAAGACTAGGAACATACTCTCATTCCTGGATATCATGAACAATATTACAAAGGGGTGTACACACACCGCAATATTAAGAATAATATTCCCCCCATTTCCCCCTGGATGTTATGAAAAAATATCACGGTGGTGTACAATTTTTGTGACATTGGGAGTAATATCATTTTCTCCCCCAGTGGATATTACAAACAATATCACAGGAGGATGTACACCTTCTGCGATATTGGGAAAAATTTTATTCTCCCCCGCAAAAATCATAAACAACATTATAGGGGAGTGTACACTCCCTGCAATATTGGAAGGAATACCATCCTCTCCCCCTCTGAACATCACGAACAATATCACAGGAAGGTGTACACTCTGTGATATTGGGAGTAATACCACCCTCTCCTCCCCTGGATATTATGAACAATATCATAGGATGGTGTACGCACCCTGTGATGTTGGGAGAAATACCATCCTCTGCCACCCTGGATATTACAAACGATATCACAGAGAATATACACACAGGGTGTTTACGATGTTGGGAGTAATATCAACTCCCCCCTAAGTATTACAAACAATATCACAGGGAGTGTACACTCCCAAAATCCCTGGGAGAAGGGAATGATATTACTCCCAATATCGCAGAGGGAGTACACCACCACACCCGCCCCCAGCGTGATATTGTATCTAATATCCAGGAATGGAGGGGATGATATTACTCCGAATATTGCAACGGGTGTACGTTCTCCTTGTGATATTGTTCCTAATATCCAGGGTAGGGAAGGATGATATTACTTCCAATATCGTAGCAGGTGTACACCTTCCCTGTGATATTGTTCCTAACGTCCAGTTATGGAGTGGATGATATTTCTCCCAATATTGGAGAAGGTGTACACCCTTCTGTGATATTGTTTCTGATATCCAGAGGCGGAGAGGATGATATTACTTCCAGTGTCTCAGGGGGTGTACACTCCTTCTATGATATTGTTCCTAATATCCAAGAGGAGAAAGGATAATATAATTCCCAATATCGCAGGAGGTGTACATCCCCTCTGTGATATTGTTCATAATATTCAGGGCGGGAGAAGATGACAGCACTTCCAATATTGCAGGGAGAGTACATCCCCTTTGTGATATTGTTCTTAATATCCTGGGAAAAAGAGAATGATGTTACTCCCAATATCGCAGAAAGTGTACATGCCCCCTGTAATATTGTTCCTAATATTCAGTGGGGGAGAGAATGATATTACTCCCAATATTGCAGAGTGTACATTAGGAGTAATGGGGGTGTGCACCACCACTGTGAGATTGTTCCTAATATCCAGAAAAAAAACAAGATAATATTACTCCCAATATCACAGGGGGTGTACCCTTCCCCTGTGATATTGTTCCTAATATCACAAGGGGGAGAAAAGGACATTACTCCCAATATTGCAGGGAGAGTAAACCCCCACTGTGATATTGTTCTTAATATTCATGGGGGGAGAGGATGATATTACTTCCAATATTTCTAGTTGTGTACACCCCCACGTTATATTTTCTGAATATCCAAAGGGGGAGAGGATGATATTACTCCAAATATCACAACTCTCATGACCAGAGTGCAGCTTTGGGCAGAGGCTGTCCGGCGACTTTGGAATCACTCTGAGCTTCTCTCAAAAATGTAGGTGTCAGAGTCTCCAGCCTTTGGGTCTGTTTTGTGCAAAGAGGTGTATTTATTGCCTTTATTCAAATAAGCTGTAAATATTCCTTCCTCATTTTCTCCATTAAGAATATGAAAATCAGAAACACTAGGCTTTTTTGAGGATATTGTCTGTGCCACAGGAAGTACTGGAAATAGTGGTGCACTTCAGAGAAGAGCTGGCTGCGTCCTGGACATTTGGGGACCAGGACTCCTACTTTCTGCTGGCTCCTCCTCACTGTGTACAGAAGTCAGCCAAAGGAGATGAGCATGTAGGCTCAAATACTCCACAAATGTTTATTTTCTTTCCACAGTACTACTCCCCCACCAAACCCTCAGATGAACTAGACGGAAACTTCCTCCCGCCACATAGCCTGATCCTCTCATTCTCAATTTAAAAAAAATTATCAAATATTGCTTTCCCTGTGATCAAAATCAGAGACAACATCCCATCAAAAACTAACAAACAAAAACATACCCCATGATCCTAATGAAGCCTCAGGAGTACAAGCAGGATTCTCAGCAAATTTTCTGTTATTCTTGTCTCTTTGGGGCCTCAAAGAACCCAACTTTAAAAACTAATAATGACCCAGAATCTCTATGTTTCTCATTTAGATGTTTCAAAAATAGTCTACTATGCAAATTAGAAACAAATTCTCTCCCATCCCTCCTCTACCATCATCTCCATTTTCCATTACATACCATTCACAACGGGGAAGTGGGACAAAAGAAAAGAGAAAGACAGGCAACAGAGAGACTGAGAGATCTAATCTCAGGCAACGCATGGACACCAGCATGTAGATACTTGGAAATGGTCACAGAGATGTTCAAACTGTGTGCAGCTATAAATAATAACCTGATACTTGGGCTACATGTTTCAAAAGCTAAGAAGCATACTGCCCATGTTGACTGTGCGTGGTATGCATATAAAGTATATGTACTGTGTGTCTATCTATACACACAAACTGAGGAGTACCAGTGAACTTAGCAACAATAGTATAAATACCACAGATACCTCACTTTGATAATTGAGTACTCAGGGACCATGGTGGAAGGAAGACATCATGCTGTATGCCCTTTTATACTTTTTAAATTTTAGATCATGTAAATGAAATACCTATTTAAAAAATAAATGAGATAAACTTTGCAAATAGTAGAAGAATACATAAATTTGCTAATATCTTTTGAAAATAAAAATTTTAGAAAGCATTTTTGGACTTCTTTCTAGGCTGTGCGTCCCACCCCACAGAGGAAAACTGCACAGGTGCAGGCCTGTCTGTCTCAGTGTGTGTCACCCACGAGGCAGTAGTACACAGCAGTGTCACTCAGGGCAACCCGGGGCAGGCTCAGAGTGCTGGACTTTCTGTCGGTGGGGATAAACAAGGAGGCCACTTCATTTGCAATGTTTGCCTTGTATCCTTGAATAATAAATCGTGGTCCTTGGTTGGGAAACTGTTGGTACCACATGATATAATCACTTGTAGCAATGTCGTTGTGGTTACAGGTTATGTTCACTTCTTGTCCTTCATATGAGTCCATGGAGATGGGCTGGGTGGTCTTAGCAAGGCTCAAAGTACCTATGGGAGTAAAACACAATCCTAGCCCCTATCCTGAAAGCAAGGTAAGTTATACAGTCCCACTCAGCAGCCTCTTACAGTCAAATCCATCCCCACACTCTACTTCCCTGCCATATACATGCACATACAATTTACTTCTCATTTATGGTTCAATACAAAAATATTTATCCCAGGGAGGCCCAAGAAAACATATACAGAAGTGCCAGGTTTACTATCTCCCTCCCATGGATAGACCCTAGGGATTAGAAACCCCGAAAATCTTTGCTGCCCCGAGACACATCTCACATAAATGCTCAGGAGCTGCCTGGAGAAAAATGGGACCCTGAAGCTATCCCTCTACATCTTGGATAAAGAGCAACTGCTAGCAGGCAAAGTCATAGATTCCTTTCCAGCATCATCAGGCCCAGATCCCATTCCTCTTCATCCCAAAATAACTCACTCAGGGTCAGGAACACGATCACTCTTGCCACTTGCCTCATATTCTAGGTGCAAACTAGGACCCAGGTTCTAGGCTCTTTTGCTGTGTCTGAGCTGCAATGAGCCCAGCAGCAACTGCCAGGGCCCACACCAGCGGCTGTCACTCAGGGCTGTCCCAGGAGAGCAGCCAATAGCAGGGCAGCAGCTCCTCAGAGCAGGGCTCCCCTCAAAGTTCAACTAAATCCCCAAGAAGAGTAGGGAGTGAAAATTGCTGGTACTGAAGCACAGCAGCCTGAATTTCATTTTAGATCTTTGCAGAGGTCTAATCCCTTAAAGATTTGGTCAGAATGAGGCAAAGCTATGAGAAGGTAGATTCCACTGGGCTCCTATTCCCCATTACGTTACTTTCCACAGCCCCAGAGGGTGGTCATCTACTGCAGTCGGTCTGACACTCATGGACTCATTGACAGTCATGGTCTAAGTGTAACCTGCCTGACTTGGTACTTTATGACCTGCAATGCTCCACTGACCCCTAGTTAGCCAAGAAGAAAGAGGGACTCCTAATCCTATTCCAAGAAAGAGCAAATGAGGCAGTCTGGACTGGACCTTCCATATCCTGATTCCCTGGGGTCATTTATAATCCCACTAAGTCCACAACTAATACCTGCTTCTCAGATCCTGTGTAACAGATATTAAACAGAGGAACAAACCCTTCGTTAGTCCCTACTGACCAGCTAGGATAGGACATTTGGTCTGGAATCACTCACTTAACCAAGGAGGAGGTGAGGTGAACAAGAAGAAAAGGCACAGGCTGTGTCAGACAGATCTAGATCTAAATCTGAATCTCAACTCTGCCACCTTGTGACCTCAGGCAGCTCACACCTCTGAGTCTTGGTTTCTTCATCTGTAAAATGGGAACAATGAGATGGATTTCAGGGTCAACCTGTGGCATGTAGTCAACAGTAAATTGTAGTTCCTTTCCCTTTCTTCTCATCTGATTCAGAGTGCAGAGTACCATGGCTAGTAGAAGGCAGTTGTGTAGGATTATATATCTAATTTTTTGTAGTTACCATACACACTTCCTTCAGGAAATAATTAGTATAAATCCTATAACAGAAGCACAAAAACTGAAAAGAAAAATAAAGGCATTCAGCAAAAGAGCCGAAAGACACAGTAGTATTCATTGAATCCAAAAGACACGGTAGTACTCATTGAATCAGCCGAATGCTATAAACAAAACATGTTAGATACTCACATTAATGTGGAAAAGATAGTGGTATGTTGTTTGAGTTCTTTTCTCCTATGATATGGGAATGAAAAAAAATCACTGGAAAATATTTGGGAGGTGCCTCTTCTAGGTCTAGAATTGCCGAAAACATTCTGAATCAGTAATTTTTCCATTTTCCCATGCAAAAAAAAAAAAAAAAATCATTGAGTGTTGATGGCTTCTAGTAACATTTTGACAGAGGAGCTATCACAAGTCATGAAATAAATAACCAGGCTTTCCTCAGCAACAAGTGAAGGAGCAAAGATGTTTTCATGATGGACCTGAAGATACTGAAACACCTTGTACAGAAGTGAAAATAAATGGGTTACGCTTTAAACTCAATTCCTTGCAACAGCGACCTCTTGTGGTAACTATACTCAGAAAAAATGTTTCACCCAAGTCAGTAGGTCTCAGATCGGCACGATTTATGGAATATCACATTTCTTTGTAAACGCAATAGCAGATAGCTTGGTTTGGACTATGGGGTTTATTTTCAGTTATGGAAGAAAACGGTGAATGAGAAGTTAGACACACTGAATTGAAACAATCCTTTGGATTCAATAGCTGTGCGATTTTATTCAAATCATTTGAGAGGCACAATTTCTTCATCTCGGCAAGAGAGATTATAAGGATTAAATGAACATAAGTAAGTTATTTCTAAACTAGAGTGTTCTATGAAAATACAAACTATGGGCCGGGCGCGGTGGCTCACGCCTGTAATCCCAGCACTTTGGGAGGCCGAGGCGGGCGGATCACGAGATCAGGAGATCGAGACCATCCTGGCTAATACGGTGAAACCCTGTCTCTACCAAAAATACAAAATTAGCTGGGCATGGTGGTGGTGCGCGCCTGTAGTCCCAGCTACTCGGGAGGCTGAGGCAGGAGAATCGCTTGAACCCGGGAGGCGGAGGTTGCAGTGAGCCGAGATCGCCCCACTGCACTCCAGCCTGGGCGACAGAGCGAGACTGCATCTCAAAAAAAAAAAAAATACAAAATATGTTTAATGCAAGAAATATCACCAAGCCAAAATGATCGTCCTTTTTCAGGCCAAACAATGTAACTCGATGTTTCTGCGTTGCCACCTGTTACCTCACTTTGGAGAATATTACTGGATACCAGGCAACTGGAGGAAGAAACACTAGAAGTTTTTCTATCCCTCAGCCTACAGAATGAAAGTAATTATTGATGGTAGTGGTGTGCTGTGGGTTGAATTGTGTCTTCCTCCCACCCAAAAACTTTATATGCATATAGGAGTCCAAATCCCTAATACCTCAGAAGGTGACCTTATTTGGAGACAGTTTTTACAGGTAATCAAGTTACAATGAGGTATTTGGGTGGGCTCGAATCCAAACTGGTGAAGGATGACTGGTGTCCTTATAAAAAGGGGGAATATGGACACCGAGACGGACAAAAATAGAAGGAAAATTTGAAGAGGTACAGGGAGAAGATGGCTATCTCCAAGCCAAGAACAGAGGCCAAGAACAGGTCCTTCCATCACAGCCCTCAGAAGGAACTAACCATGCCAACACCTTGATTTTGAACTCCTGTCCTCCAGAACTGTGGAACAATTCATGTCTGTTGTTTAAGCCACCTAGTTTATGGCCTCTTGTTACCACAGCCTTAGCAAACTAATATATGGTGCTAATAATTATATTATGTATTATGTAGGTTGCGATGGTTGACTTTATGTGTCAACCTGGCTAGGCTAAAGGATACCCAGGTGGCTGGTAAAATGTTACTGTGGGGTGTGTCTGTGAGGGTGTTTTCAGAAAAGATTCACATTTCAGTTGGTTGATGGAGTAAAGACCACCCTAATCAATGCAGGTGGGCATCACCCGATTCACTGAGGGCCTGAATAGAACAAAAAGGTAGAGGAAGGACAACTTTTCTCTCTCTGCTTGAGCTGGGACATCCATCTTCCCTGCCCTCCAACATCAGTGCTCCTGATTCTTGAGCCTTTAGACTTGGATCAAGATTTATATATAACCAATAATTACACATATATATTCTAATAAATATATATTCCAGTAAGCATTTATGTATAGATAGACAGATAGATAGAAAGAAAGAAAGAAAGATAGATAGATAGATAGATAGATAGATAGATAGATAGATAGATAGACAGATATCTTATTAGTTCTGTTTCTCTGGAGAACCTTAACTGATATATATATATACTCCTTTGCAAAACATTTTCTGGTGTTCAAAAGTATTTGAGTGAACACATAGGAGAATATCACTTGCATTAATGTTGTTTTTTATATATATTGTAATAAAAAAATTAGACCATTGTTAAAGCAAATTTTAGAAAGTTCCTAAAGTTGTGAAAGAAAACCATGCCCTATAGCAATAGCCAACTACAAGAGGGATATTTTAAATATTTTTAAGTGGGACTTTTTTCTGGTTAGAAGAATAATTAATTATAAATATAGAATTTGGAAAATATGGGACAGTATTTTTAAAATCATATGTAATATCATATCCCAGAAATAATCATTGATAATATTTAGGTATACTGCTTTTTAATCCTCTGTTTTTGCATGGCTATTGTTAACACAATTGAATTCTGTGTGCACATGAACACACACACATTTGCACATGCTGGAGTTTTTTTCAACTCAATACTATTTTCCAAACATTCTTTCTTATCAATAAATATACATAAAATTCCAGTTTTAATAGCCTCAACATAGTCCATGGTAGAAATGTGCTATAATTTATTTACCAATTTCTCTAGTATTAAACATTTGGATTTTAGAAAGAATACTATGATAAACACCTTTGTACATAAATCTTTGTCTAAACTTCCAATTGTTTCTTTAGACTAGCTTCTGCAAAGAGGATTTCCTGGGTTCGAGTAAGAACATTTTAAGACTCTTGTGAAGTATCCATTTATTCAATCCACAAATATTTGTGGAGCCCATATTAGAGTCAGGCACTGAGGTAGACACTGGCCATTCAGTGACGAGAAAGACCCAGTGGTCTAGTGAGAAGGAAGAGAATTTTAAAAGCAATGATAGTCCTCATGATAACTGCTGTGATCGGGAAAGCATAAAGCACCATAGGAACACACAGGAAGTGAAACTGTTTTGGTTGTAGGGTTGCAGGAAGGCTTCCCAGCAGCAGTGACACCCACCTAAACTAAAACCTAAAAGAAGAGGAAGAATGAATCTGATGAAGACTGGACTGAGTAGAAAGAGGCAGAAGGCACAGAATTTAGACAGACTTGGAGCAAGAAAGTGGATGGCACTTGGGTGGATGATGGTCCTGTTGTTTGACATGAAAAACACAAAAGAAGGAGCGGCTTTATCTTGTTTTGTTTTGTTGCATTTGGTGGAGGTGGGGAGGAAGGAAGAAAGATAAAGAGCTAAGCTTTGCACCATTGATTTGAGGTGCTTTTGGAAAATCCACATAGGTCAAAAATCCAGTTTGATATATTAAATTGAAGCTCAGAAGAGATATATGAGCTGAAAATAATCAGCAAATAATAGTCGAAGCATAGCATGGATAATATTACCCAGAAAAAAAAATGTTGACTAAGAAAATAAATAGGTCAAGGGAGGAATCCTAAATACCAACTGGCAGATCACCTGATGTCAGGAGTTCGAGACCAGCCTGGCCAACATGACGAAACCCTGTCTCTACTAAAAGTACAAAAATTTACCAGACATGGTGACGGGCACCTGTAATTCCAGCTACTCAGGAGGCTGAGGAATGAAAATTACTTGAACCTGGGAGGTGGAGGTTGCAGTGAGCCAAGATCGCACCACTGCACTCCAGCCTGGACGACAAGAGTGAGACTCTGTCTCAAAAAAAAAAAAAAAAAAAAAGAACACAAGCTTTAAAGAGTAAGCAGAAGAAAAGCCCACAAAA